CTGTTATAACTTCAACAAATCAATAAAATTGATATTAATAGAAGACTTTGCTACAACACTATATCACAAAGAAAATCAGCAGTGTCAGATGACTTTTAAAAATCAATAATTTGCGATGTTAGGTAGGTAATCATGACACGAACTAGACATTTTTAATTGTATATTATATAAGCTCTTTTGAATATAGTTAGCAGGATTTTTTCCCATCTTTGAATTGAAACAACTTTCGTATTGAAACGTTAAATGTTTTTTCTAAAATATTTAACGTTATATTTTGTAGATTATTGTGTGTGTGTTAGGTACAATTTGCTCGAAATGTTTAGAATTGTTACACAATGCAGAAATATCCATTGAATGTGAGTTTTGGAAAAGCAAGGAAAAAAGATTTTTTATTAAAGAAAAAATAATGAATCAACTGGTTTTAGATTATTGAAGCAGTCATCAGCACGTAGCTTAATTATATCTGCAGTTAACGTGTTAAAGTGGTGCTGGTAAGTTTAGAAAAACGTTTTGATACACAATACACTTTGCTTCCACATTGTGTAATTTATATTATTTTTATCCTGTATAAGCTAGGGAGCTGGTGGCAAAATCTTATTCAGTTTTTTCCACAATAATTTTCTTAGATGTTGGATTTAATAAAACAGTGTAGTTTACGTTTATATAGCCTTCGATAACTAATTTGGATCTTCTTCGGTAATTATACTATACCGAGTGACAATGACAGTAAATATCTCTTTTATTTATCATGGGATTTGGATCAAATTTGGAACAAACCTACTAGAATTAATTTTAAATTGATAATTATACCTAATCAAAATGGTCTTCCGATTATACCGCAAATAGAGATATTTTAACTTCATAGTTCATAGAGCGCTAAGAGAGCTTCAGTTTAAGACATAAATTAATTTAAATTAGGTCACTGTCACTATGTAGATGTCACTATGTAGATGGCGCTACGCTCAATATATTTTTTTTTTCGATGGGAGGATCTTTCTTATACAGCGCATCTGGTAAAAAAATGCATTTTAAAGCCGATTTTGTTCTATAAACTAATTCGATAAATCTACCCATTTTTGATATACAGAGTGGGTCACTCAAAAGAGTTTCATTCTGTTTTTCGGCATTAATCATTGGATTTTTAGAAAATTTATTTTTATTTTTATTCCAAATTGAACACATTTTTACAATACAGACATCTGTCATGTGTCAACCCCTTCTCTTCCATTTCTCCAACCCCTTAGTTTTAAATAAAGAATGTACGGCACATCATTGAAAAGGTTATTTTATAAAATAAATGACTGTATATTGCGATACTTTTAATTTTAGCGTCCTCTATCGGGATAAAAAACCTGTAACGTATTATAAAGTGTGACACTTCATTTGAAAGCTAATTTAGTTACTAATTTAATGCACCACATAACATTAATATAAATATTTCCATATTGCACTTGCAACAAAATAAAGTTAGCAATTATGAGGTCTGTAAATTAAGTAATGAGACTGATTTTTTTAAAAATTTTTATACAAAAAGAATTACAATTCAATATTGTCATCTTCAAAATAACTTCCTTCTGAGGCCACACAGCACTGGAGACGTTTTTTCCACTCCTCATAGCAGTGCTGGAACTCCGATACTGAAATAACCTTCAGCTGGTCGGTTACAGCCGTTTGAATTTTTTCGACTGTCCCAAAATTATTTCCCTTGAGGTGACTTTTCAACTTTAGGAATAGAAAAAAGTCACAAGGACTCAAGTCAAGCAGGTTGAGGAGCCACAGGAATATTTTTACTGGCCAAAAACTCGTTTATTGAAATTGCTGTGTGACAAGGAGCATTATCGTGATGCAACACCCACTTGTTCTTGATGTTTGGTCTCACACGAATGACCCTTTTTCGAAGTCTTTCAAGAACCTCTCGGTAAAAGTGTTGATTGACCGTTTGACCTTGGGATACAAACTCTTTGAAGATGAAGGCCTTCCGCTTCGTGGTTCATCTTCAATCGACTCTCTTCCTTCTGAAAATGTCTTAAACCACTGAAAAACCTGGGCCCTTGACAAAACACTATCTCCGTAGGCCTGCTGAAGTTTCAGAAGAGTTTCCGCTGCACTGTGCCCAAGTCTGAAGCAAAACCTGATAGCACACCGTTGCTCTAAATTGATGTCATTCATTTTTAGAACACAATAGAAAAACTGTTTCACAAAATCAATCGCTACGCACAACCAAATGACTCGAGCGAGGTCAAACTCGTACTGAAGGTGGATGACATGTTGCTCTGCTGCCCCACTAAGCCCCGCGCTTCCAGTGTTGCCAGATCAAACGCAACGTTTCCAGTCTCATTACTTAATTTACAGACCTCGTATGTTTAAAATAATGCATGATTAATTTTCAAACTATTGCAAGTGCAATATGGAGAATATTTATATTAATATTATGTGGTACATTGAATTATTAATTAAATTTACTTTCAAATAAGGTGTTACACTTTATAATACGTAGTTTTTAATCCCGATAGAGGGCGGTACAATTAAAAGTATCACAATGAACAGTCATATTTCTAAATTCCCCATAAAATTACCTTTTTAATGATGTACTACACATTGTAGTATCACACTCTATAATACGTAGTAGTTTTTATCCCACTAGAGGGCGATAAAATTTAAGTAACGCAATGTACAGAAATATTTTTGAATCCCCCATTGAATTACCTTTTCAATGATGTGCCATACATGGTACATTACCTATTTAAAACTAAGGTGTTGGAGAAGTGCAAGGGAGGGGGTTGACAAATGACAGATGTCTGTATTGTAAAAATGTTTTTAATTTGAAATAAAAATCGACCTCTTTTTGTATTTTCTTAAAATCCAATGATTAATGCTGAAAAACAGGATGAAACTGTTTTGAGTGACCCACTCTGTATATCAAAAATGGCTTAGATTTATCGAATTAGTTTATAGAACAAAATCTGCTTAAAAATGCATTTTTTATAAGATTCGCTACAGAAGAAAGATCCTCCCATCAAAAAAAAAATATATTGATTGCAGCGCCATCTACATATTGACCTATTTAAATTCAATTTATATCTAAAACTAAAGCTCTCTTAGTGCTTTGTGAACTGGCTTTTACAGAAATATAATATCTCTATTACTTATCAAAATATCCGGCCTGGGAGTTTTTATTGGTACACCCTGTATATATACAGTGTGTGCCATAATTTTTTTTTTTAATATTACGGCTGCAAAAAAACGTTGTAGGGCAATCACCTCTGCTTATTTAAAAAATAAAAGAGCCCATATCAAAGTGGCTACTGGCATTAGTTTTCTGTCTAATTCGCATTTAAAATTTTTTTTAACTATTTTTTAAAAAAGGTACCGAACTTGAGAGAACTAATTCACTATCTAGTCAACTTTATATGGACTAATTAAAGTTTTAAAAAAGGAGAGGTGATGTTTTTTCCAATCCTATTAAAAAAATCCCATATGGATCCAACTTTATGGAACACACTGTGTATCTATATTTAGAATCTACGATTAAAATTTATGTTTTAACCAAACAATTTTTTTTATAATTTACATTTTATTTTTTTTTTTGTGAAGTGTAGAAGGCTATGAACTGGAAAATAATGTTCTAAGTGGTTCATTATGCAGATTATTGTCAGATTGGGAATAAAATTCGCCATCTAATGGCAAAATGGACGTCAACATGCGCCATTTAAAAGAGTTAGATTTTGCCAAAAAACAATTTATTTTTAATACAAAAAAAAAACAAAATTTAAAAAAAATATTTGCTTGAGAAAATAAATTTGGTAACTCTGTCATATGTTATTTGAACATCATATTCCAAAGCACTTAAAATATACAGTGTGATCCATTTAAAAAATCAAACTTCTGCATTATTAAAGACCTAAAAAATGTATTTAGAAGTCTTGCTGTTAGATGATTTATTATTATTTTTTATTGATACTTGTTTAATAAATCGTTGGTATAAAAACTGCATCTAGAATCTCGTGTTAAATGTTTGTTTTTGTTGGTTTGATAGAGTAATATTTATCCGCGAAAACGCTCGACTTTAAAGAACTAAAAACTATATTTAGATGTCTTGCTGTTTAAGATTTTTTATTTATTTCATCGGTAGTAGTGTAATGAATTGTTGGTAAAAAATTGTGTTTGTAATCTCGTGCTAAATGTTTTTTTTTTGTTTCTCTGTTCTCATAGTAGTTTGACGACATAATTTTTTGTTCAATCAATTAACAAAAATCTAATGAATATATGGTATGGAGTGAGGGTAGCCATATGTGAGTAGTAGGGATTTACACTTAATGAATATATGGTATACAAATTATATTTACAATCGCATTGTAAATGTGTTTTATCCCCGTCTTTCTTTAAGTTTATCTTGTTTTAACTAACATTACAAATTGAATTAATCTATTTTTTCCAATAAATACACAAAAAGAGATATTAATGTGGCCCTGGTGTAATTGTCACATGGTAAAATAAATAACAACTATAAGGATTTAGGGGTATATATTCTTAACATGTTTAACATCTTATTAATTAATAATACAACGATAATGGTTTGGCTGAAGTTGACATTAATTGTTTTTAAAACCAAAATACTAATTTCAATTAGGCAACGCGAGCAAATTTTTGACACCAGCTCAATAGCTATATTGAATTCTGTTTAAAATAATGTAGATCTGATTAATTAATTTTGGAAATTGAGATACAACAAATTTGATTTTTAATAGTTTCTATACAGGATATCACTTTTTTTTTAAATTTGAAAATACCGATATTATTTTTCCATCCTGTATATTAACGATTTTTTGAACTCATAAATATATACATACGTAAATTAAAGATCAACAAAAAGAAAAAAATATAGTTATAACATGAAACATTATTTGTATTTAGTAATATAGCAAAAATTTTGACATAGTTATGAATATTATTTAAATTTTCCAACCCTATAAATTCAATTTTGTTTTTATTAAGGAGTTGTTTTAAAAACAATATTTTTAAAAGAAAAGATCAGCTTGAAAATGACGCTGATATGTATCTTGATTTAAAATAAAATAATTTCTTTACTTTTTTAATCTTTTTGTCGCAAATAATTCGTCAATTACGTATCAAAATTTTCATGGAAAATACACTTTAATTTCAATAATTTAGTTTGAACAAATTACGTATTTCGACTACATGATCATCATCCTCAGATCTTCACCGCTACGTTACCTCTATAGAGCGACACTCGTGGACGTGGACGGCAATTTTCTTAAACAATTTCCTAACAATTTTTCACAGAAAAAACTCACAATCTATCTTCGAATCTTCGTTAATCAAGAACCGTTCCGGTTCTTGCGTTTAAGTTTTCCTCTTAATACTAAAATTAGTATCACAATTGTTTTGCATTAAAAGTAATTATCGCCGCCTCCGCTTGGATGGCGCCGCGCAGTACGATGACAGCTCCTCTCGAGTGCATGATTTCTCGCAGCACTCGTTGTAGACGCCCCAACGTTTCTTCCTCCGTTTGCCCCCCATCAGGGAGGTCGCTTCCGACCGCGTTTGGTAGGGGAAACCGAAATCGGACATGTCTGGGGCAGGGGCGTCTCCGTACATGGCGTCCCATTGCGTTGGTCGGGGATAGCCTGCAACAAAATATAGTTGATGAGTTAACATTAGATTTTTTACGCATTTAAAACTTCTCCAACTAAATTTTCTGTCACCCACTTTGGATTCGAATCTTATATTCAAATTAACATTTTCGAAGTAGGACATATAATGTCCCGATAGCCGAATAATTAATAGTCCGGTCAAATTAGACCAAAAAATAGGAGTAACGGTACAAAAATTCCCACCCAGCTGAAAATTGGTAAAATTGTTCAAAACACCAATATAAATTAAACCTAAAAAGTCCTCAATAATCCAGCGCCTGGAAAAAAATTTACTCGGGGTCAAAGGTCACAAAAACCTGTTTTTCGCAATTTTCAGCAAAACTGTAAGTTTTATCACAAAATTAGTTTTGACAAAAATTGTAGAGCAGATAATTATCTATAAAAAATGTCTTAAATTGTTTTTTCCTAAGAGCCACTGTTTCTGGGATATAACAATTCAAAAATTTAGAAAAGTTGTAATCGTCGTAATATGTATACGTATATACGTCACTGAAGCTATAATACAAGTAAAAATATTATTCTATCGGTCAGTGTAACTTATACAAATATAAAATATTATAAATATGAGAATTACAGGTAAAAAGAAACCCAGTCCCTCATTGGTGGTGTCGTTGGTGATAGTAAAATTAATTGATATGAGGCTTGTGAAGTTGGGCTTAATTCTATGACAAAAATAACAGGACGAACATTTAATAATATTAAATTAAAACGCGCTGACAAAGTAGTTCCTCTTTTAGCTATGAGTAGCACCATTAAAGTTCACGATGAGAAAGTACCAATTGCCCTGTATTGTTATTTCAACGAATGAGTATTACTGCGGCATTTCAAGATGAAATTGAAAAATATTTTGAATATGAATTGGCTCCCTACCCTTTATCATTGTCTGATGACATTGGAATGCGTAAAACACAAAAGTCTGCCATTTTCGATTGATATTATATTATTATATTATATAAATATTGATATTAACAACACAAATGCAACATACATCATTGATGGAGGATATCTATTACATTGCCTTGTGTGGGATAGCGAAAAAACATTCAACGTTATCTTAGATAAATGCGTTCAGTATGTACGTCGACATTTTGGCCCCAGAAATACTGTCGTATTTGATGGCTATAATGACTTTACGAGAAATATTAAAGCCACAGAACAACGTCGTAGAACTTCAGCAACATCTTCATCTTCAGATATTTGATCAATCAATGACAATTCCTACCAGTCAACATAAATTTCTTGCTAATACTCACAATAAATCTCGGTTCATTTCAATGTTAAAAGAAAAGTTTATTGCTGAAAATATATTGGTAAAACAAGCTAATAATGATGCTGATGTAATGATAGTTGAAACGGCAATAGAGCAATTCAATTTAACAAATACAACGATTATTGTAGGGGAAGATGTTGACTTGTATTACTCACTGCTTGGACTCCAATTGAAAAAACAATTTTTTTAAAGCCTGGAAAATCTCAACATCAATCCGAAATATATTCTTTGAAAAGTTTATCTACTTTTGCAAAGTGTCAAAATCATGTACTATTTTTACACGCAATAACTGGCTGTAATACGACATCTGCATTTTTCAGGAGTGGTAAAACAACAGTTTGTAAAATGTTTGAAAAAGTGTGCTGAAGTTTTTAAAAACAGTAATTCTACTCAACAAGAAGTTATCACTTACCAAATTCGCTTTCTTTTCTCTATGTATGGAGCTCCTAAAAAAACTACGTGTTTAGATAAGTTTCGATACGCATGCTTCGTTAAAAATACTCGAAATAAAAAACAAGTACAATTAGCTTGTCTTCCTCCAACTTCTGCGGCTGCTCATCAACATCTTTTACGGGTATATTACCAAGTTCTAGTGTGGCTTGGTTATTAGCTAGACCCAAAAGACTGGGGTTGGAAGTTGGTCGACATTGCATTAGAACCATTTCAAACTTTACTAAAAACTGCTCAACACAATTTTTTGCAACTGCAAAAAGGGATGTAGTGCTAAATGTAGTTGTAAAAAAGTTGGACTGTTTTGTTCTCTCATGCACTAATTGTCAAGGCCGGTCGTGCTCCAATGTTGAATCATCAACACTTGAGGATATGCGATGTATCAAGAAGAACCAGAAGAATAATAAGTAGAAGAGGAAGCAGAAATATTTGAGAATTATGATTCCGACGAATAAATTTCCCTATTTTTTTTATTTACACCGCTTTTATCATTTTCAACCCTTGCCAATATCTTTTATTATTCAATAGTTTCAAATTAAAAAGAGTCACAACAGATCCGTGGAATAGACCTACATGGGAAACCACGTTAAAAAAAACGCGTTAAGTACACTATCTCGAAGGTGGCGTGGAAACATGTGCATATTACGACGATTACAATTCTTCTAACTTTTTGAATCGTTATATCTCAGAAGCGGTGGCTCTTAGGAAAAAAATTCAAGACATTTTTTATAGATAATTATCTGCTCTACAATTTTTGTCTGAACTAATTTTGTGATAAAACTCACCGTTTTGCTGAAAAACCCGTTTTTGTGACCTTTGACCCCGAGTAAATTTTTTTCCAGGCGCCGGATTGATGAGGACTTTTTAATTTTCATTTATAATGGTGTTTTGAACAATCCTACCAATTTTCAGCTGGGTGAGAATTTTTGTACCCTCGGATGTCTAAATTGACCGGACTATAAGGGAGAGTACGTAGAACACGAATAGATGGGTTCCCTTCCCAACCTGGGACATCATTTTTAAATTTTTCATTTAAGTTGCTTTTTCTTTGGAAAATCAAAAATAGTTTTAATTATTTCGTAGGGGTAATTGTGAAAAATGTATTTATTTGGGGACTTCTAAAGAAATTTTACATACCTTTCGAATTAATAACTGATAGTCTTTCGAAAGTTTTCTATATGTGCCAACGTTGTAACGTATAATGAAAATTTATTACATACTTAAGAGGAGTATTTACTTGGCTTTGGAGCAGAGTATGCAAGGGTTTCATAGTACCCCCACTTTTAAAGTTTATTTTTGACTTGTTCTGTAAGAAAAAATATGTGCGTGTAGGTAAAGGTTAAAATCTATACTTCTCTGGAGACACTTTTTCAAAATTTGAAACTGTTTTTCTAAAAAAAAAAAAAATACAAAACTCGACATTTTTTACCCATTTTCTCAATTTTTTTTTAGAAAAAAATTAATTTAATTTTTAAAAAGTGATTCCAGAAGAGCATAGATTTAACCTTTACCTACACGTACATATTTTTTTATTTTAAAAATATTTAAAAATAAATTTTAAAAGTGGAGTACTACGAAACCCTTATTGCAAGATTTTTCGTCTGGAAACTGGCACCTCTGTTAGATTTTTAAAAAATTAATATTTGTGAATGAAAACAATTTATAATATATTTTACTGATGTTTTACGGGGATCAATAAATTTTACGTATTTGTACACTAATTGTTTTACATAAATCAATTCTGTAATACTAAGATCGACATATACAATGTTTCTTAAAAGTGCCCCCCTCTTTTCTTTTGAACGGTGATACTTAGACTGATGAAATTTGGAGGGTGAAAATGAACTTTACAATAGTGGTAACAGGTGACATAAAAGGCATCGGTGACGTCACCAGGCAACTGAAACCAATAATATTAAATGGGACCTTATGGCAAGTGACATCTCGTTTGAAAGGTATTTAGAATACCTATTCAGTCATACTATTTTTTTTGGATTTATGATTTTTTTGATGGTTAAAATAACTAAACATTAAAATTTGAGTTTCGTTTTTATTTAATAAATATTTAAGAACAAATTCTTGTAATAATTGTTAATAATGTGCTCCATCTGGCAGTAAAACATCCTAGTAATAAACTCTTGTCGGACTCGATCAGGGCCGACAAGAGGGGGTAGCCGGGACTAATTCCTTGGGTCCGGGCTCAAGTGGGGGCCCGGCAGTGGCATAAGGGGGGCCCGGCAGCTCTGGTGGTGTGACGATGTTTGTACCGTTGCACGAGATGGAAGACTAAAGAGGACGAGAAGTTTTAGCGCTTGAAGACCTTGTTTTTTTAGAGATTTCATCAAAGAGGACGAACATTTTTAGCTTGAAGGCCTTTTTTTAGAGATTGCACCAAAGAGGACGAAAAGTTTTAGCTTGAAGATTTTTTTTAGAGATTGTACTAAAGAGGACGAGAAATTTTAGCTTGAATACCTTTTTTTAGAGATTTTACTAAATGGGACAAGAAGTTGAGAAGTTTTTGCTTGAGAGAGCCTAATTTTTTTGATAAAACTGTCACGGCGCCCGACCTGCAAAATTGTCCCGCGGCCCGACTTGGCTCTCGGCGGCCCTGGACTCGGTTAAGTGTGTCAGAGGAAATTGCCTACATTCTTCAACAATTCGTTGTTCTAAAACGTCAATACTGTCTGGACCTGTAGCGTAAACTTTGGATTTAAGATATCCCCACAGAAAAAATCGAAATGTGTTAGGTGCTGTGACCGAGCTGGCCATTATATTGAACCGCGTCGTGCAATCTATCTACCAGGATATTCCTCATCCTCTAGATAACGTCTTACTGCAAAATAATAGTGTGCAGGAGCACCATCTTGTTGGAACGTTATTTCCAAATTATCAAATTCATCTGGATTATCTTCCACAATTTGAAGAATTAACGCTTCAATTGCGTTTTTTAACATTTCGAGATATACTTCACCGGTTAAATTAGAGTTCAAAAAAAGAGGCCCGACTATGTGGTTTCCCAAAATACCTGCCCAGACATCTTACTTTTAATAGGAACTGTGTATGTTTTTCACGAAACATGTGAGAATTTATTTCACTCCAATACCTCACATTTTGAGTATTAACATTTCCATTAAGGAAGAAAGTACTTTCGTGACTAAAACAAATTGTCCTTACATAGTCTGGCTGTTGGAGAATTTTAGTGGACATATTTTCACAGAATTTCAGCCTTCGGTCGGGGTCGTCATCTGAAAGTTGATGCACCATTTTTAATTTGTATGGGTGAAATATGGTACACCCTGTGTACTGTACTATGATTGACTCCAAAGGTAGACGCTACTTGGGCTGTGAAAGAAGTAGGGTTTACTACAATTTCTGCAACTATATCAATTTGTTTATCAATACCAATATTTGGTCGACCCGATGTTTTGGAATCATGAACACTGCCTGTTTGTTGAAATTTATGAAAAACTCCCTCAAATAAGTCCTCGATATAGGGCGATCGAAGTATCTCTAATTAAAAATGCGTTCCGCCGCATGAAAATTATTTCCACTCCCACCAATAATTAAGATAGCTGTTACTTTGTCAGCTAGAGCACGTACCATTTTGTTTATGTAGATACTTAAATCTCTCGTTAAATAATAATTAAACTAAAAATTCAAGATATTATAGCTTGTAAAAATGTCACTTAAAACATTTCAGCTTTTGCAACAATTAACCATAGGCGGACTTTTGAATCTTTAATAATTAAAAGCGAAAGTCAAATTTTAGTGTTTATTTATTTTAACCATCAAAAACATCGTAAATCCAAAAAAAATAGTATGATTGAATAGGTATTCTAAATACCTTTCAAATGAGGTATCACTTGATATAAGGTCTCATTTAATTTTATTGATTTCAGTTACCTGGTGACGTCACCGATGCCTATTACGTCACCTGTTACTACTAGTAGAGAAACTTACAATAGTTCATTTCCACCCTCCAAATTTCATCAGTCTAAGTATCACCGTTTAAAAGAAAAGAGGGGGGAGGGGACTTTTGAGATAGGAAAAGGTAACAGTTCCTATCAAATTTTTATTTTAAATTGGTTCTCAACGTCTAATTAAAAACGTAGAAAATTGGTACTTACGATCAACTCTTTTAAGTGTATTGTAATTCCCTTGACAAACGGCAGACAGCGCCTGACCAATTTGACTGCCGCAGTACTTTTTCGGTCCTGGTTGCCTATTGCCTTGCATATCACCGTATTGGCAATGTATAGGTCCAATAAGAAAGGTAATAAGTAATAGTCTAAATCTGAATTCCATCTGCAACAAAGAAAAAACTAGTTTAGGTAGGAAATAGAGCTAATTTGGTTTCAAGTAGTCAAGACACCACGATGTTGTCGTACCAAGGTATTTTTTTGTAATAGGATTTTGAACCAAAAGGTAAAGTGCATCTTCATCTTAGATTAAAGAGACCGGAGATGTAACATTGCACACAGCGCATGATGTCTATTCCAACTTTAACCCACCAATTAAAAATCATTTGTCCACGACCACCTAATAATAAATCAATATTCTACCTCCTAACTAAAGGCATATGGGACCCATATATCACTAGAGTGAATTATGATAATTCACGCTTTTGTAATTCTGGCACATTCCGGTAGATAACTAAAAATCGAAAAATCGAAAAATCGAAAAATCGAAAAATCGAAAAATCGAAAAATCGAAAAATCGAAAAATCGAAAAATCGAAAAATCGAAAAATCGAAAAATCGAAAAATCGAAAAATCGAAAAATCGAAAAATCGAAAAATCGAAAAATCGAAAAATCGGAAAATCGAAAAATCGAAAAATCGAAAAATCGAAAAATCGAAAAATCGAAAAATCGAAAAATCGAAAAATCGAAAAATCGAAAAATCGAAAAATCGAAAAATCGAAAAATCGAAAAATCGAAAAATCGAAAAATCGAAAAATCGAAAAATCGAAAAATCGAAAAATCGAAAAATCGAAAAATCGAAAAATCGAAAAATCGAAAAATCGAAAAATCGAAAAATCGAAAAATCGAAAAATCGAAAAATCGAAAAATCGAAAAATCGAAAAATCGAAAAATCGAAAAATCGAAAAATCGAATAATCGAAAAATCGAAAAATCGAAAAATCGAAAAATCGAAAAATCGAAAAATCGAAAAATCGAAAAATCGAAAAATCGAAAAATCGAAAAATCGAAAAATCGAAAAATCGAAAAATCGAAAAATCGAAAAATCGAAAAATCGAAAAATCGAAAAATCGAAAAATCGAAAAATCGAAAAATCGAAAAATCGAAAAATCGAAAAATCGAAAAATCGAAAAATCGAAAAATCGAAAAATCGAAAAATCGAAAAATCGAAAAATCGAAAAATCGAAAAATCGAAAAATCGAAAAATCGAAAAATCGAAAAATCGAAAAATCGAAAAATCGAAAAATCGAAAAATCGAAAAATCGAAAAATCGAAAAATCGAAAAATCGAAAAATCGAAAAATCGAAAAATCGAAAAATCGAAAAATCGAAAAATCGAAAAATCGAAAAATCGAAAAATCGAAAAATCGAAAAATCGAAAAATCGAAAAATCGAAAAATCGAAAAATCGAAAAATCGAAAAATCGAAAAATCGAAAAATCAAAAAATCGAAAAATCGAAAAATCGAAAAATCGAAAAATCATAAAATCGAAAAATCGAAAAATCGAAAAATCGAAAAATCGAAAAATCGAAAAATCGAAAAATCGAAAAATCGAAAAATGGAAAAATCGAAAAATCGAAAAATCGAAAAATCGAAAAATCGAAAAATCGAAAAATCTAAAAATCGAAAAATCGAAAAATCGAAAAATCGAAAAATCGAAAAATCGAAAAATCGAAAAATCGAAAAATCGAAAAATCGAAAAATCGAAATATCGAAAAATCGAAAAATCGAAAAATCGAAAAATCGAAAAATCGAAAAATCGAAAAATCGAAAAATCGAAAAATCGAAAAATCGAAAAACGAAAAAACGAAAAAACGAAAAAACGAAAAAACGAAAAATCAAAAAATCAAAAAATCAAAAAATCAAAAAATCAAAAAATCGAAAATGAAAAATCGAATACTCGAAAACTAGAAAAATCGAAAAATCGAAAAATCCAAAATTGAAAAATCGAAAACTCGAAAAATCTAAAAATTGAAAAGTCGAAATAACAACAGTTAGTTACCTAAGTTTAATAAAAACTTTCCATTCTACACTTAACTTTTATTTAATAAAGAAACCATAATGGTCGTGGACAAAGTATAGTATTAGACTCGCAATTTATGGCCATTATTCACTCGAGTGACTTGCGCCCCTCGCCTACGGTTCGGGACGCAAACGTCACCGTGCGTGAATAATGGCTACCATAAATTGCTCGTTTAATAATATACTATTTTTCCACGACGCCACCCGAATTGCTTGGACATTTCTGTTCTACGCTTATCTCCTCGTGAGTGAATCATCATGGTCCGTTGTTTTTTGAATTATTTGTTGGTTTTATTAGCAATTTAAAGTGTTTCACTTATTCAATTTCAAGTTGAAAATACCACGATGTATCTATACGTATATACGTATAAGCGCCAATGTTATGAAATATAAGAAATGTATTCGTTTTCAGCGATAAATATTTATTAACGTTTCGACATGAAGTCGCCATGATCCTTTAGGCTGAAAACTTCAGATCCGCATCAAGGGATTTCTTTAAATATTTTAGAAAACAGATTTCATAGTACATAAATTTACAAAAGGGCAAAATTTTTAACATTTAATTTAGTTAAATGTAAATAGAAAGTAAATATTTATTGTTGCCAACGAAATTTTCTTATTGAAATGTAATGGTTATTACATGATCGTTGCAGAATATACTATTATTAACACCATAGAAACCGATTCTAAAGATAACGCGATCAAAAAATCCGAATTTCTAAATATTGGAAATAATTGTTCGGATAAAAGCAAGCTACCGATACGGATTGCAAAAATAATAGATTATACGGCTATTTCTTTATGAAAATCGATTTATCGGTTATAATTAATCGATTATTTTCGAATAATCTAATATTTTCAGTAAACTATTTTAGTTTCTTTCAAAAATAATAGAATAATCGATTATAAAGGAAATACACAAAGAAAATAGATTAATTGAAAATAATCGATTATTTTAAATAATTGATAATTCGGTTACATTTTTTTTAGGAAAATCGATTTATGGTTTAATCGGTCGTTTAATAATAAAAATAGGGTATTTGAAAATAATCGAATGATTGAATATATTCGGTTATTTTAAATAACCGTTATATCATTTATTTTTTTAGAATTATCGATTTATCGGTTAATCGTATATTTTCGATTTTCAAAGATAATCGAATAAAAAAGGTTATTTGAAAATAATCGATATTTCGGTTATTTTTTAGGAAAATTGATTTTACAGCGAATCAGCTTTTAAATTAATAGATTATTTTCGATTAATCGAAAATTTTCAATAGATTATTTTCGTTTTTCAAAGATAATGCAATAATCGATTTTAAAGGAAAAACAAAAAGAAAATAGAATAATTAAAAATAATCGGTTGATTAAAAATATTAAAAATAATCGATTAGTTTAATTAATTGATAATTTGGTTATTTTTTTTTTTTAGAAAAATCGATTTATCTTTTATTCGGTTTTTTAATTAATCGATTATTTCCGATTAATCGATTAATTTCGATATTTTAAGGATAATCGACTAATCGATTTATAAGGAAATTCGAAAAAATGAATTATTTAAAAATAATCGATTGATAGAAAATAATCGATTAATTAAAATATTCGATAATCCGGTTATTTTTTTGGAAAAATCGATATAACGGTTAATCAGTTTCTTAATTAAACGAATATTTTCGATTTTTATCGAATAATCGGTTTCAAAGTAAAAAAATAGAATATTTGAATATAATCGATTATTTAAAATAATTCGTTTATTATATTTTGGAAATACCGATTGATCGGTTAATCGGTTTTTAATTAATCGATTATTTTCGATTATTTCCGATTTTTCAAAAATAATCGAATAATCCATTTTAAAGAAAATAAGATCGATTATTTTCAATGATTGATAATTAATTTCAATAATCACCCACCCCTAGCGATTGAATGACTTTTATAGCTTTAAATTTTAAAATGTTATCTAGATTCAGAAATATGCATTTCTAGAGTTTCATGTGATAAATCCTCTATATTTATTAATATTCTTAAAGAAAATAGCTTTAATATACCCTTTTCTGAGGTTACAATACATAACAGCATTTTCTCATTTTGATTAATTTTTAATAATATGTACAGGCCGTAGAAAAAATATAATATTCAACTAGCAAGGTTTGATTTAAAGTATTCGCCTGTGCACATGCTGCTATTATAATACTCGTAGCCAATAAGTACCATTCCTTGCTCGATTAGCCATATTCTATTTCAACATTTTATTGTAGTCTCTTGCAGAAAAGTCCGTAGTAAATAAATGCTAACGAAATATTCTATAAAAGAACTTTTGTCGTTTGATATTAAAAAATCATGTCAACTTTATTTCACGATACATTCAATTAAACATCTTCTAAGTAAATCTATAAGTTCATTATGATGGTAATAAACAAAGTCCGTCCGTCACATAGTTCGGGTCTCCTCCCAGTTCCCCCACTCCGTTGTGACGAAGTCACTAAATTTCATTTTTCATTAAATGTAAAAATGTATATTTCAATTAATTCCCGCCTGAGGACATATAGCAGATTCCCCGTATTTCTGTTTCCCAGGAATTACCGTTTTTCAACAATTGCGAGTACCCTCGTAGGTTAAAATATTCGTATATTTGCTCTCATTGTCAACGACTATATCCAATCACTCTTAGAAACCGCCCTGTTAACATTGAAGTGAGAGGATCGACCCGTTTCCAATTTTTTTAATTATTTTAATATTTTATTTTCTTTTCCGGAGGTTCGATCCGTTTCCTGGTTAGAGTGATTTCTCTCCTGATGACGTTATCTAATTTCCCAAAAACACGTCTAAATTAATTTCCGCGCCTCACTTCATGTAAATTTCTTTTCTTTTATTTTTTTTTTTATTTATTCAGCTGTATTTGAATCATTTCGTTCCCCGTCCACAATTAGTTATTGAATGAAGCCAGATGACTTCTGTAAAATTAAAGTCACACACGCTCTCGATCGACTCTGGGCAAATTTCAAAATATTATTTTCTACGATCGTCGTGTCCGCCGTCCAAAACACCGCCTGAATACCCATGTTCCTCACTAGACAAAAATTTTC